CTGGCATTTAGATTTTTACTAAATATTGTAAGTGACACAAGAACTCTAGGAGATGAGGAGGAAAGACTGAGCAGCGAATGAATCTAGAAGCCAGCAGAGGCTGGAACTTGATCCCCAAGAATGAATGAGTGGATGGGGGTTGGCACTGCCTGGGATGACCTAACCAGTATGTGTCGCTGGCTTTGGAGACCCTGCGGTGTCCCGTACAGGTGTTCAGCTCCACTCTCTAAAGTGAAATGGTTAATCCACTGCATCAGGAGAAGGTCACTGCAAAACTTTATTCACAGGAATAAGTGGCCGTCTAGCCTTGGCTTTAAAGCAGCAGTTTGCAGGCCTACAGGATGTGAGATAGAGGGACCCGATCATCCCCAGAGGAGGGCTGCATGCTGTGATGCCGTGTAGACAGCAGCTGAGAGACAGTGCATCAAGGGACAGTGGTGAGGCATTTCAACTTGTGTGGAGAATTCTCCAGGAAGGATGGAAACAGGTACCATCGTAGCTTAGGCTGTCTAATAAAGTACTACAGACTTAAGTGACAGAAATGAATTGTCTTCCTGATTCTGGAGGCTGGAATCTGAGATCAAGGTATAGACCAGACTGGCTCCATGGAGATTGTGAGGGAGGAGTCTGTGTAAGCCCCCTCTCTTTGGCTTAGAAGCACTGTCTTCACCCTGTATCTTTCTGTGATCTCTCCTCTGTCTCTGTCCAAATATCTTTTCACTGAGGTACAAGTCATGTTATGTTGTGGCCTCATTTAATTATATAACATATTTAAAGGCACTGGCTCCTAAGACAGCCCATTCTAGTTAAGAGGGTTTAAGACATCAGCATGTGGGTTTCTAGGGGGCATAATTCAACCCACAGCAGATGAGATGCCCAAGTTAAAGGGAGTATAACCTACAAGGCAAGGAACTAGGAACTCTTGTTTGCTAGCCATACTGTCATTAAACTTTGAGGAAATAAATGCTAAATATCCCATTTTTAATATAAAAATGTAATAAAATGGACATCTGGCCAAGGAAATGGCAAGGCTCCATATAGGAGTGAATGGTCCTGGCCATTGCATCCCAAGAGGCTGGATGCCAAGAGTCATCCTCGGACTCCTGCCAGCGTTCTGCCTCATGGGGAAACACCTTCAGCCACTGCCAGTAATGCTGGTGTGGTAACTCTTTCTCAAAGGGGAAGGCAAAGGGTTGAAAGTAGCAGGTAAGTTCTCTGAGTTTGTATGGTGGCTTAACAGCTATATTGCAAAATGAAGACATTATTTTTTTTTGCAAGTCTCAGGAGAAACTGGTATCCCCACTGATGTCAAATGAAGACCTTAGAGAACCCCACACCTGGGACAAAGTCAGGGCTGTTTGAGAACCCAAAAGTTTCAAAAATCGGTATATTTCATCTTTCTTCCCAAGTTCATTCACATTCTGTGGTGCCTCTTAGGTGGTAAGAACACATAGGAAAATCTGAGAGTGGGTCAGCTTAGGTGTCTTATATGTGGTTGTTTCTTCCAAGCCTTGAGGTTGGGAAAAAAGGTTAAAAAAAAGGGAAGGGACCCCCAACAATCTTTCCATTTCCTTTACTAAGTGACCATGCTAATATTTTCCTTTACCAAAACACAAATTTCTTTGACTCTCAAGCTTTTGTCAAACCCCTTCTGGTTAATATATTTTTTTCTCTTTCGGATGCATCTGTCCATCTTTTGATGCACATACTATGTTGATGTCGTGGTGGCCAAACAATATCTAATTTCTTTTTAAGGGAAGCTTGAGTTTTGATTCACTGACCCAGTCCAGATCAGCCCTGCCACTTGGGAACCTGTTTCATGAGGGTCCGTCCAAGGGGAGCTGTAGTTTTATGGGGATCTGGCTTCCTAGAGGGGATCATAAGGGCCATGAACTATAAACCACAGCTGCAGAAAGAATGCCAGAAGAGTTGTACCACCATAATTCAAAGACACCATGTGGTGTCTCATGGTGGAGTCCCAGAGCTCAGTAGCTAAGATTTCAGAGGGTTTATAGACCCACACATGCCAGAAAACCCCCATCTGAACAACAGCTTACATCTAACATACCTCCCCTGAGGTATATTATCATGTGGTCTACACATTGTATCATGGAGAAATTATATGTAGAGATCATTATAATTCATTACAATTTCCATGGCATCTACCTAGTCATTTTCCAAGCAAGCTGAGGAGAGACACTAACCATACCTCTCCTGAGACACAGAGACAGACTACCAAGTGCCACTCAAGCAACAGTGACTCCTGAGAGTAGGTGTTTAAAGGGATGGAGGGGTAGAACATACTAACTCAGGGATGAAATGAGCTATTGCCTAAGTGGGTGTGGTGGCTCCTAGCTAGCTGGGAGGCAGAAGAAGGACTCTTTAAGTTAAGGAGTTCAGGCATCCTGGCATCATCACAGGACCCCATGTGTTAAATAAAACAGAAAGAGTGAAGTCTATACAACACCATTGCTGCAAAAACTAAGAAAATAGTGATGCCAACTGTCATTTGCAACAACTGTTGATTGCTTTCTCAAGAAATCTTTGTTTCTTGTTTTGTTTTAGAATCTTCCTCCCCAGATCCCAGAAATCTGTGTTTGGTGATAGTACCTGTTAGCAGTAAAGTCAGAAAATGAGCTCCATCTCTAGGCTGCTTCCTCAGTATCTTCCCTTGAAACTGTGTCAGGTTGGGCTGGGGAGATGACTCAGTCAGTAAGGTGTTTACCTTGAGCATTTATGCACAAAAGCGTGCACGTGCGCGCGCACACACACACACACACATGCACGCACGCACGCACACACACATGCACACACACAGGCTGTGTTTTACAAAGGATGTATCATCACCTGTCTGGAGAGATACAGGCAATCACATAATCACGTAATCACATAATCACATTGGAATGGGGTGTTCTCTGATCCCTGAGACGTTCCCCATCTTTCAGCCACTACTAAGCAACCACAGGTGGTCAAGCTTTCTGGCTCACCTATGGGATAAGTGTCTCACATTTGTGATTATAGACCTAAACAATCCAAGCACATAGTTCCCCAATAGACTCCCTTAAAACAGCAGCTGCCATACTGCTGTGTGATCCTTTACTGACAGGAGCACAAACTTCATTTCCAGCTGTTTTATCTCCCAGATGCTTATGGGATAAACAATCACAATGTGCCTTTCTAGTGAGAGGTGCTCATTTCAGCTAGGAACCTTTAGAGCTGTGACTTGACCCACAGAGCAGATTGAATGGAGACCATGCAGGCCACATATGGAACTGAGCCAGAAGTTCTGCCAAACCCCACCATGGGTATCCTGACCACATGTGGTTACAGCTGAACACCGTATATTTGTCAGGTTCTTCTTATGGCTTTTAAAGTTACCCTACAGTTGTTTCCAGAATCGGACAAGATAGGGTACAGTTTGTCAAGCATAATGCTGGATAATGCTGCTGGTTGACAGGTCTCTGAGCTTTGGGACACTGACTGGAATCCGTGTACTCTCACACCAGCTACAGGAGCTTGGCGATAGACAGCCTTCTTTTTCCATTTCTCGCCTCCACGGAAAGCATGGTCCTCGTGGGCTCTCACTCATTCTTGCTTTAGTTCCTGTTCTTGTTCTAAAACACACCTCTCTAGAAGGGAAACCACTTCTAATGTTTGATTCAGGTAGGACTTTTGAGAAGAAAGAGAAGCCCCAGAGCTTATTTGAGAGTTGCTGTTAATTCTACCCCATGTTTTGTCCACTGGAGACACGAACCTTCCTGTAGGTTGGCAATAGGCTTGACACCTTTCTAAGAGGAGCCAGACTTCTGAATGCCCACTAACAAGAAAGCTCATTGGCTGTAATCTGAGTTGCAGGAGACTAGGATGAGTTCCCTGCACAGCCTTCCCTTGAGCACACGAGCCACTTGCCTGTCCTCATCAGAGCACATAGATTCTTGCAGGACTGTCTGGTAACCTCCGCCTCCATCCCCTGCTGCTCCTCAGTAACAAGCTGCAGTCAGTACATGTCCATTACTGATTTCCAGCGGCTGCTCCAGGGCGTCTCAGAAGCCCACAGTGTGAGTGTCATCAAGAGAAATACCCTTTCTGGGGAGGTAGCTAAAGCATTGGTTCTCAGGACTTGAGGCAGTCACGTAGCACAGACTGCCCTGTCCTTCAGCTCCTTCCTCTTCGGTTAAGCCCAGACACGAGCAGAGCCCAAGGCTTTCTGTGCACAGGAAACTTAACTCTGATGAAAAGTCAGTTCCCAAGACAGCTTAGTTATTCTGTACTCCACCCAGACTCTCAGGTTATTCTTCAAAAGAAAACAGAGTGTGAAATGTACTATATGTGAGTTCCATGCATAGTGTATGCAGAATTAAACAAATTAAGCATTTGAAATCCAAAGTAAAGCAGATGCATGGACACTTTGGATGAAACTAAGCCTGGGGCATCGGACAGCATCTTATTAAATGAAACAATGACTGAGCTAGACAAGGGGAAAGTAGATCAAAAGACAAGTGACAAATTTCTCCACTCCAGGACAAGTGGGAAGGAAGTGTTGGAGGCCACTGAAGCTGGCATTCATGGTCCCTGTGAGGAAGAAGCCTGAGCTGCCTGGCCAGTGGGATGGGGAAAATTCAGGCATGCATGATCTTAGCAGTTACCTACTGTAACTGTAAATCTGTAAAAGGGACACCCCCCGAGTGGGGACACAGATACTAGGCAGTTTCCAGTTACACGTCAGTGTGATTGGGAGCCTCTTCTAGAGTCTGCTATTTGCTTTACTAAGGGCCCATCATTTGTTGTATGTTGTTAATTCATGTGACTTAAGGAGTTTGACCAGATTTCGTTATGTTTTCTTACATGTCTTGGTTTATGCTTTACACTGTTTTCATTAATTTTGGGAGATAAAAGTGTTCTGTGTAAGAACTGGGTTGTTTCTTTTGCCTGTGCTGATTGCATGTTCTCTGTTGATGTCTTGTCCCTGATGTTGACACTGGCCATCCTGTCTGTGAAAGGAGGTGCTGCGGCGGGCTTGCTTGATCAGAAGAAAGGGAAGTTTGCTTGGTTTAGTCACTCTACAGAAACCCATGGTAATGTCTCCTATGCTCTCTGTGTGTAAATGTATGTTGGTCCATACAGATTGCATGGGAGAATGTTGCTTTTGATGTCTGTGTCTGTGTGTGTGTGTGTGTGTGTGTGTGTGTGTGTGTGTGTGTGTGTGTGTGTGAGATGGCTGACCCTTATCTCCTCCACTGGATAGAGTCAACGAGCTTGACAACCAGCACCACCTGGTCCATGATAGAAGATGGGGTCCTTCCTTTGGATAGTGACAGCTAGAACCAGTCACTGTAAATGCAGAATGAGCCCCGGGGCTGGAAGTGTCTTGACTTTAGAGGATAGGCTTACTCCTAAGGCACAGGTCACTTCTGAATTTTGGTGTCTTACCAAGCCTACCACTACTATTTTCACACCACTCTACTCACATATGAGAGGTTCTCTGAGAGCCAAGTATCACAAAGTCAGGTGGCTTTGTATTTGTGGCTCACACCTCCCAAGCATGACACCTGGAGAGTTAAAGGGGCCTGAGTCCAGGGTGGCTAAAGAAAAACGAACTGCAAGGCAAAATGCCCGTCACCTTTACAGCTCCTTATTTAATCTGAATCGTCCACAGCCCATAGAAACCACCCAAGGCCTCTATTCCTAGTCCCCAGTGCTAAACCTCAGCAGACTAGTCCCACCCAAAGACCCAGACTGGGAAGTGAATCTCAATGCCACAAAACTGAACAACATTGCTGGGCTATTCTTTGCCATCCAGTGGTGTGCCCAGGGTCTGACTCCTCTTCCCCAGTCATTGACTTACCCTAGATGTAGAGAAGAGACTTGGTCTACACTGGAGTGGTCGAGGTGAGCATGGGACAGGGACGGTGCCCAGTTACTAGTCCTTTCTAGGTGTACCATGTGACCTAGACCATCATACCCATTCTCTAAGTCTTACCTTCCTTTCCTGTGACATAAGGGGAACATGTTAGAGCTGGGTAACTTCTATAGTTTCCTCCATCCCTTAATATCTATGAGATGATGTCTAGATTATCTTTCCTCAACATTTTTGAGGCAGAATCCTAAGTCAAAGAGAACTACTCCATGTGACAGTCAAAACATAGTAAATCATGGCTTTCCTGTTTGTGTCTTCCATTTTGGAAATGAGTCTCTTTGCATCCACCTGGTATGTCTTAAATCAGAAGAAAAGAAACTGGGGAAGTCCACCTCCATCAATATTACCATGTAACCAGTGAAAGTCCTCCCCTGGGCTGTGGTAGTCCATAGAGACTTGTCACTAGTTTTAGACACTGTGGCAGCCTAAGGCTAGTGATTTCTCACCAAATGAGGTTTATTCTGGAAGGAGTGCTGGTCCGCGTTGCTCTAAAGAAGTATTAGTAAAACCAAGGAACTCCCTGGGAACTGTAGTACACATCACTAATGCCAGCACTCCAGCAGCTGAGGCAGTGAGGAATGCAAGTGTGAGGGTAGCTTGGAATATATCAAGACCATATATTATTTAAAGTAAAGATATATATATATATATATGTATATAGAGAGAGGGGGGAGAAAGAGAGAGATTCATATTACATTAGAAAGGATGATGGCAGTTCTGAAGAACTCTTTGACCTAAACTTTAATTTCATAGGATAAATAATGCTAAAAGAAATGGTATCTTCTAAGCCACCATGCTTAGCCTAAGCTAGAAAACTCCTAGAAATCTAGCCTGCTGCTGCCATAGTGTAAGATGTTGAGTGTTGCTTGGGCATACTGGCCCCAGGAGAATCAGGTAGCTAGTATCTCTCTTTAGACGGGAGTGCCAGGACTTGTGGTATCCCTGCAGGCTCTCTTTGACCCACATTTAAGCCTAATTTTGTGGATCCTGCAACTAGACACCTCCAATCTTTTTCTCTGCCATGTTTCGTGAGGCCAAACAGGTGAGTTTGACAGTTGACAGTTACCTCAAGATCACCACCTCAGGTATAGTCCTAAGTGCCATTGTTTCATAACACAGTGCACTACAGGAGATAGTGTCCTCAAATCCACCAACAAATTTGAGTAGCAAAGGTGCCCTTCCTGAAAACAAGCCAGACTCCCGTCTTGGGTTAGAGCTGGTAGGGGAAAGAAAGAAGGCAGTGGAGTCTTGTCTTAAGAGTGTCTCTCTCCATGGTAAGTTGGCAATGCAAATGGAAAGCTTTGCCGCCTTTCTGAGGTTACAAAGTTGAGGGCAGAGGAAAGATGCGACCATCATCCTTGCCCAGCTGTGTCCTGTAAGGTAAATGGTCTCATCACCAGAGCCCCTCCTACATTCCCACTCAACTGCAATGTCCTGGCAGCTGACTTGCCCAGCCTGATGAGATCAGTGCCAGGGCCCCACAGACAGGCCAGCAGGTGGTGCTCAGCCAGCTTGGGGCTAGGATGGTATATTGTACACTAATGTTCCTCTCCTTCCTTTCTCTCCTGCCCTCAATGCCTTTCGTGCCTCCCTTTCACTCACAGTGAGCATGCCCACAAGTGAGACTGAGTCTGTCAACACTGAAAATGTGGCTGGAGGTGACATCGAGGGCGAAAACTGTGGAGCCAGGCTTGCGTGAGTACCCATGGCAAACTTAGCACTGAGTTCTTCTGGGGCCTTGGCCTGGGGAACTAGCTCATGGTGGCAGGTGGGATGCATCCTCACTGGAGGGGCAGAATCAGAATTTTGGGTGACAACCTGTGCCCTGAGTGTGTGGAGTGAAAAGAGGCCTGGGGTGAAGTATGGCCTTGTATGTGGCAGTGGGCTCTTCAACTTAAGTCCATCTTCAGCACTTCTGTTAGGGTCACTAACTTGGATGCTGGACCCTACTGGAGATATACAGAAGTAGGGGTGCTCTGATGTCTGGTTTTTTTCTTATTCCCTTTCGTGTATTTTTTCCATAAGAACTAGTAGGCCAAGGTTCCTGCAGCTACATGGTCACCTTTTCCATTCTGACAAACATGGCCTCAAAGAAAATCACCAGCTGAGAAACTCCACTACCAAGGGATGACCCTCTAGTCCTGCGCAGCTCTCAGCAGCCCTTGGAATGGAGAGAGCCATTGCCTGGGGTACTGCCTAGATGTCTGTAGCCTAGGAGGCTGCAGTCCTTAGCAACTAAGCCTTCCTCCCAGTCTCTGGTTCCCAGGGGTTCTGACCTGGTACTTAGCCAGATGAGAGAGCGGGAGCTGTTGTCTGTGACAGCAGTGCACTCATGAATTGTCACAGTCTTGAACACAGAATGAAGTCACCCATGTTAATTGAGTCATCCATGTCAATGACCCTTGCTCCCTGGATGAAGGGGGAAATGGTTTCATTACTAAAATTGGCAAAACCAATTTGATGGCTAGTGTCACAGAAAGCAGAGCCGTGGGGGAACAAGGGCTATGCCACTTGGTAGCCACATCCAGGCTTCACTTTGGGAGGCAATGACTGCGTTTCCTATGGCCATGAGCATGACATCTGTGACCTTGTCTTGACCACTGGAAGGAACTGCAAACAGAAAGCTCTGAGTAGGATTAGCCCAAACAAAATGTGTCTCCAAATGCTCCATGGGTAGAACAGCACCTTCCCCTGTCGCGTGACTCACTGCCAGCCTTCTCACAACGGTAGCTGCAGGCACGTCTGAGTGTGCCTGTGAGTGAGCCAGAAGAGGGGGTGAGCAAGGCTGAGGAGCAGTGCAGCCAGGTTCCAGGGCACACAGGGCTGTGGCATCACTCACTCTGACAGTGGCACCAGGGAGTCTGCCCTGCAGATTTCTCAGCATTGTGGAGAAGCAATTATTGTCAAAATGTTGTTAAAATATGGTGCTAATTACATCTGTTAGCAGTACTCCCAGCCTTTTTTCTTCTTTTCTCTTTTGGAATTTTACAAAATAAGCACTTGAGTTTCTAGAGGTGGCCCCAAATAGCAATGATAGGGCCAGGCGTATGGGACCTTTCTTGCCCATAAGTTCTAGGCATTTCTGCTTGCTTGACATCAAGGATGGAAAGTTTGGAGAAAAGATCATCAAGGTTATTACAATGCTGGCTTTGGGGCATGGCCCAAGGTATAAACCAGAAGGGGCCAGGGAGCTGGCACTGGGAACTCACTTGACAGTACATTTTCGGAGTACATGATGCTGGGTTGGAAAGCAAACATTATTATCTCCTGCGGAGGGAAACTGGCATCGCTGGTCTATCTTTCACCTCCTAGGAGGATGTGCTCTGCTTCAAGAGTTATAGAGAAATGGTTACTCTTATTCCTACCCATGCCCAGGTTGATACATATCTACGCTGCATACAAAATATAAAATTGTGGTACCAGAGTTATAATATACACTCCACCAACTGCTTTCTTTCCCCCATCTCCCAGCAAGACAGTGATGGGCTAAGATTGCCACTGTTCCTATAACGAATCAACTTGAGAAGAAAAGCAGGCTGAGGGCAGAGTGAGAGACTGTCATTTTATAAGCTTTGAGTTAAAAGTCTTGAGGTCAGGGTAAGGACTTGAATGTAAGAAGAAGGCTGGGGTGGCAGAGGGGCATAGACAAAAGAACTGCAATGTGACACAGTTTGGTGACAAAGAGATATAAAGGAAGGACTCACCAAAGTTTGATAAGAGAAATTGATAACAAGGCTGAAGCAGAACTGGACGAGGAGGTCAGTCTAAAGGATATGCAGGTACTGTGTGAACAGCAGGGTGACGAGCTCAGAGGTTCAGTTCTGAGTAGGGATGGAGGCTGGCATCTGAGGCATTGATAAGGTCATAGGATGGAGTTTGTTAAGAGAGGTTTAGAAAGCAGAACACCTGGACCAAACTTTGGGGAAACAGTCGCACAGAACAGAAAGACACAAGCAAACAGATAGTTAGTTACACTGGGAGATGTGGGAGGAAGATGTTAGGAAAGCCCCCTCTCTGTGGCAACCTTCATGGTGGTCACAACGTGTGCTGGGTAGTAGATCTAGTAGTCATCCAGAAAAAAAATGTCACTGACCCTACGGAGCTAACAGTCTAGTGTGGAAGACTAGAAATTGGGGTTTAAGGATGCGTAAGTAAGTATAATGTGCCCTCAATAGTGGAGAATCCTGGTTTGGAGTGGCAGGTTAGGAAATTTTACTGAGGAATTAAAATTGAAGCTGAAAATTAAGAATGAATATAAATATTGAGTGCCAAGGGCCAGCATGTGTGTGAGGGACAGTGGTTCAGGTGCAAGTAGGCCCCATGATGAACTTGGTCTTTGTTATAAGAGTGTGTGAAGTTGCTTAAGGGTTTTAAGAAGACAGTGCTGTGAGGGGGTCAGTTTTTATCAATCTGTACTCTTGGAGGATCATTTTGACATTAGGAACAATTAAGAAAGAGGGTGACATATTCTTAAAGCAGCCTCTGTGGCTGCTCATGTATGGGATAATGACAGCCTCAGGTAGAGTTGTAATGTGGGGAAAGAATGGGCCAATTGTCAGTGTGTCCTGGAGCTCTCTACTTGAAGGAGTTTTAGGGGTATAACCACCCTGGGAACCAGTCTCAGCAAGGGGAGGGTGGAAATGTACCAGTGCAGGGCACCCACTAAAACATTTAGGCCATGCAAAGGGTGAGAGAAATGGAATCGGGAGAAGAGGAGGTGCCACAGGAATGAAGGGATGGCTTTCACTGCCATCCAGGTGGTATTCGAGGCATTGAGAAGCCAGCAAAAATCAAGAGACTAAAGAAACTGCAAAGGGACTCTCCCCACCCTCTGCTTGAGTTGAGTGTAGGTTCCACTCAGGCCCAACCCCCCCCCATCACCTCGTTGGAACTTCCTGGGTCCTGGATCCTGGGTCTGCTCCATCCACCTTGGCAGAAGAGATGACCCTGAGTCTGGTCACATCTCAGTCTTGGTCCCCCCTACGCTCTCTGCCGTCCATCCTCCACTTGAGTCTTGGACCCCCTACACCCTCCTCTTGAGTGAAGAAAACACCAGGAGAGGCCAGACCATCCAGAGTTGCTGACATTGAAGTCTTGGCCCGCCTATTCCCACCAGGAGACTACAGGAGGAGAGACCCCGCATGTACCCACTTGAAGAAGAGATGGGAAGATGACAGTATAAGAACACACTCAACAACAGAAAGACCAATATGACACCAGCAAGACCTGAACATCCCAACACAAATGAAACAGAAGAGAAAGACCTCAAAAACAACTTTATGAAGATGATAGAAATCCTCAAAGAGGGAAAAAAATCCTTAAATAAATGAAGAAAAAGACAAATAAAAAAAATTCAAGCAATAAACAAATCTCTTAAAGAATGCAAAGAAAGCCAAGAAAAAAAACAGTCAAACAAGTGAAGGAAGCAATTCAAACAGTTCAAGGCTTGAGAGCTGAAATAGAAACAATAAAGAAAACACAGAATGAGCCCCCATGTGGGTGCTGGGATTTGAACCCAGGTCCTCTGGAAGAGCAGTCAGTGCTCTTAACTGCAACGTCTATAGTGAGATCTGGTACCCTCGTCTGGCCTGCAGGCATATATGCAGACAGAACACTGTATACATAATAAATAAATAAATATTTTTAAAAAAGAGAGAGAGAGAAAGAAAACACAGAATGAGGAAATGCTGGAAATAGAAAAGCTAGGTAAAGATCAGTAACTACAGATGTAAGTATAACCAATAGAATACAAGCGATGTAAGAGAGAATCTTAGGTGTTGAAGACTCGCCAGAGGAAATATAGTCATCAACCAAAGAAAATCTCAAGTCCAACAAATCCCTAACATAAAATATCCAGGAAATATGGGACACCATGAAAAGGCCAAACCTAAGAATAATAGATATAGAAGAAGGTGGAGAAATATAGCTCAAGGGTACAGAGAACATATTCAACAAAATCATAGAAGAAAACTTCCCCAACCTAAAGAAGGATATGCCTATGAAAGTACAAGAAGCTTACAGAATACCAAATAGACTGGACCACAAAAGAAATTCCCTTGCCACACAATAATCAAAACACCAAAATTACAGGATAAAGAAAGATATTAAGAGCAGCAAAGGAAAAAGGCCAAGTAACATATAAAGACAGACCTATCAGAATTACACCTGACTTCTCAATAGAAACTCTGAAAGCCAGAATGTCCTGGATAGATGTTCTACAAACATTAAGGGAACATGGATGCCAGCCCTGACTACTATATCCAGCAAAGCTTTCAATCACTATAGATGGAGAAAACAGCATATTCCATGACAAAACCAGATTGAACAGTACATACCACAAATCCACCCCTACAGAAAGTACTGGAAAGAAAGCTCCATCCCAAGGAAGATAGCTACACTCACAAAAACATAGGCAATAGATAATCCCACTTTACCAAACACAAAAAGAAAAGGGGAACCCATACACAATACCACCACAAACAACAAATTCAAAACTAGCAAGATTTAACAATCAATGGTCACTAATATCCTTCAGTGTCAATGGTCTTAACTTACCTATAAAAAGGCACAGGCTAACAGAATGGATACAAAGACAGAATCCATCTGTCTGATGCATACAAGAAACACACCTCAACGTCAAAGGCAGACATTACCTCGGAGTAAAGGCTTGGGAAAAGATTTTACAATCAAATGGA